AAGCTCCCAGAGCCAGCAAATGTGAGAAACCCCAGAAATAATACATTAGAAGCTAAATTGCATTTCCAAAGGCAAAGCTCCCAGCCCGAACAGCCCACGTTAGCCAGGTCAGGTGAAACACCACCAAACTTTCTGGCCTCAAAGGCTGTGTGCCGACCACCTCCAGCACACATCAGTTTAGGATCATCCAGTTTTTATTTTCACCCCTCGATTTCATCCTCTCCCTCCAACCATTATCCTTTTGGGACTCTTCAAACAACCACCTCTCCCTTTCAGCTTTGGAAAATCTGAACCTGCTCTGTCCTCACTTTGACACATCTCAATAGCACGGTCATTTTTTTTAGGATTGCTCCTACCTCCCAGCCCACGTGCACTTTGCCAAGCCTGCCACCCTTCCACATCTGCCCGCTTGCCCAAGGACTCCCCAGCTCAGATGGGTGACCTGGCAAAGCAGGAGGCTCCGTGCTCACCATGCTCATGTTAACCCAGCTCATTTTATAAGTGAAATGGGGTGGGAAGCTGATCTGTCAGCAAATTTGATGAACAAATAATGGGTCAAAAACATGGGAAGCGAGGTGGAAAGGAGCAACAACCAGAGGATAACAGCCCTAAAACCCACCGGTTCCTGCTTCTCTCATTGCATGAAGCAGAGCTACAAGTAAAAATGAAGGTGCCGTGTAGCAGCGATGGAGCTCGACGATGCTTTATCCACATCCAATATTTTATTATTTTATTTTTTCCAATCCTCACCGTGGAGGCACCAGGGCTATCGCGCTCGCCACAGGACTCCTCACCGCTCCTCATTACAGGTGGTTACAACCCCACTGCAGTGTGAAACGAGTTTAACAAGGGCACAGCTCGGATGTGAAATACAAGTAGGCTGAGGATATAAATCTGTGGTATCCCTTGCCTGCTCCTAAATCAGCCCACCACTACGTCTCTGTACTTCTTGAACAGATGGGACCTTCTGGCAGTCTTTAAACCACTTAACAACACTCTTCTGTAACAAAACAAACTAATTACTGGAGAAAGATGCTATTTTCCATCAAATTTCTGCTATTTTTATGGAGTCAGCCAGAGCTGATGTCTGATTAAGGACTTGCAGTGAAGCTATTTTGCCTTCAGAAGCCCAGCACAGCAGAATTAAATGCACACCCGTGCGAAGGTACAGAGCATGCTAAATGAACTTCAGCGGGGTTTTGCTCACCGACACCTCTCTCCATTTAGGTACCTACAAATGCGGACAGCCTGTCGATCGCGGATGCAAAGATAATCATCTCTAAGCACTGCCTTTGCACGTCGCATCCCTAAACACAGCACAGCAAGGCTCAGCTCCACCAGGCAAATGCTTTGTTATATGAGAGTGTTTTTCAAAGCCTCTGAAAGCTTCCGAGACAATTCTGTCTGACTTAAGGATAAACTTCCCTAATGAAACAATTTTCTTGTTGATCTTGCAGGTGTTTTGCTCAAGCTAAGCATTTGCTTGCTACGCTGTTATGTGCTTTCCTTGGGAATCTGCAAGTCTTAGCTTCATTCCGTTACCAACTCAAAAATACCTGGGACTCACTGTAAAAAATAAAAACTTTCCAAATTCTCACGGAAAACAGTCTTCTACAAATCACTGCACAGAGCTACGAGATTTGGCCTTAGATACCCAGGGATGTTAAATACTCATAGAAGAAATTACGATAGGCAGCACCTCCGAATGCAGGAAAAGCTGCAGAGAAAAGCCAATGGATTTTGTAATAACTAAGCAAATTTAGTGGTAGATTTGTGATCCGCTGGGTATTTGTTGAGCGGGAAATAAACCAAAGCAGCTAGTTCCGTGTTGCCTAGCTGCAGACTATATTATGAATAGTTTCCCTGCAGGTAAATCATTTTCTATTACTTCTAAGTACCCCAGGAAAAATACTAATTGAAAACACAGTTCTAATACTGTCCAGCTGGAAAACATTAGCTTAGGATGGAACTAGCTTGACACTGGCTGCCAATTGGCTATGTACAATGGAAAAGGAAATTAATCTCTTGCAGACAAGACATCCCATTTTCCAATTCTACTTTGTAACCCTCAAATAAACTCATTATTAACCAAAGGCTTTGATTCACATGGGGAAAGGAAAACATCAATGTGTGCCTGATAACGCCAGCCTGGATTTCTTGTGTAAAACGAAAGCTCTCCAAGTTTGACACAGCGAGTGGCAGAGCACCCAGAGAACGACTTATGGTCCAACAACTTAACAGCATTTCTTCTCACTCCTTCCTTGGCTAATAATTAAAGGACAGATAAAATGAAAAGAAAAATGCGGTTCCACATTTCTATAACAACCCAGCTCATCTTCCTTCAGCTCCCTCCTGCTAAAAGTTTTTCTCACATGCAGGCGGAAAAGGGATGAGAGAAAACCACTGAAGTTGACCTCGGAGATATCGAGATTGCTTTTTCACTTCTAATAAAATTCACTTACATGCAGCATCCAGCAGGTTAGGCAGTCTCAGAGGGGCTGTTCCCCATGCTGCTCACAACCTACACGTCTCCTGCACCTCCTCTCCTCTCAGCTTCAACTTTGCTGAAACACTCCAGACTTTCATACATGCTTTCATCCCCTACGTAACTTCTGCAAGCTATCAGTAAAAAAAATATATAAATAAATAAAATTAGTTTCTCTCCTTGTCATGGAAAAGCATCCTCATTCTGCACGTAGGTCTTCCAGCAGATGGAGTTACCTGCTGGCACAATAGCCCATGTCCTCTCTTTGGCTCCTGGTTGCTGCAGACACTTTGTGCCATTTGCCTGATTTAGACTGCTTCATTTTTGTCTGCAATGGATTAAGAAGCATTTGCACGCCTTGCTGAATTATCAGCACAGAGGGTAATTAGCAGTTGGTAACAATTTCTGGGTCTGAAAAGGGACATATGTCCATCTGTCCACAGTCTTACTTATTATGCTTAAAATTGGCTTCTCCATCCCTTCTTGAGTAACCCAAGGAGGTCAGACAAGTGGGATATGGACGATGACGGCAGACATGGGAATGCAAGGAAATAGAGCTGCTAGTGCCAGAAAGACGAAATCCTGTCTGCCGATGCACTTCAAAGGAGGTTTTTGCATTCCTCTAATCAAAGGAGAAACTGAGAAGAAAATAAAAAGCAGAGAGGTACCGAGGAGCAAGGGAACAAAAAGCTCATATGAAAAAGAAACGAGCACTGCCAGCCGAACAAGAAGAAAAATAACACACATCAGAACAGCAGAGATCCAAAGTTTAGCATCTTCTCTGCAGTTCTTTGAGCGCAGACAAACTTGTCAGAGATCAAAAAGTTTAGGACAGCTTTGTTCTGGCCTGATCCTATAGGGGTGGTGTTTTTAGTTAGCTTATTTCTACAAAATTAATGTGAATAATGGAAAGAGGGGAGGGGAAATGCCCAGACAGACTGTAGCCCAAAACCACCAGCCCCACAAACACGCACACAATTATGCCTCCATCCCAATGGAAACATCATAAACATCCTCTGCTTCTTCAATGAAGCAGTGAGTAAAAGGCTATAACACGTTGGGCAACAGCCCAATTTTACAAGCGTGTATTGCAAAGTCTTGGTGAGCTGTTAGAGGCCAATGATTCCCAATCCCTATCAACATAATAATAAAATTAGAAGTTACAGAAACAAAGAAAAACTGAACGATTAGGAGTAAAATGAACATCAACAAGGAGTATGGTCACCCTGGGCCTCCAAGGAGTCCCAGGCACAGGTCAGCTTAGTTGCTCAGTCAATCCATTACCCCAAATTACTGAGTGCCTTTGCAAATTTTGCTTTGTTTTCTCTACCTGTGGAAGTTATCTACAAAACAGGGACACTAAATCCTTAGCTTTAGAGAGGTAGCGATGATTAGTTCATGAAGTACTCAAATATGGAGCAGTCACAGGAATCATTCAAAGCTTGGGACAGGTTTGGATGAAATACAGTAAATAACGAGGACAAATAACAAAACTACAACAGTGTATTGAGAATCTTTCTCTTCTGCTCTTCCATTCAAGAATCAGATGGAAAAAAGTACTGCAGCTTGCCATGAAAGACTGTATTCACATTTATGTGAAGAAGAGCTAAGGCTGTAGGGGCGAACTTAATCGTGACATTTCCTGATGCTAAGGCCAAGATTTAAATATGAATATCCACCAAACAGAGGTTCTGAGGTCAGATTGTTTTTGGGTCCTTTACAATATTCAAAAGCACACATTTTTGATAGAAAAGGATAACTTGCTTTCTTGCCACAGTAGCAGAAAGTGAGAAACTTTGTGCCTGGACTAATGAAGAAGACTTCAAAGAACTGAAGTGTGAATAAAATACCACAGCTACTTTAGACAGAAGAAAAAAATATCAATGTTCTCAAGTTCTTAACTTTTCCTTTTTGAGTATGAGTCTGCTAGTGAAAGCATGACATTAAAAAAGATCTTTTAATTTATTAGTCTCCTTTTAAACACGTGTTTCCTAAAAATACAACGTGCTGTGACTAAGAACATGCCAGGCAGGTTTTAGACAATGATTTCTCCACACTCCTATTTATGTATCACAAGATGTATTTGAAAATATATTTATAGCCAGAAATATGTTGATACTATTACAGTACACAGACATGATTATATTCCTGTTTGATTTGAGAGATCGCAGAAAAATGCTTTCTATTTGCAGTACCTATAGCTATTTCTAGCCAAATGTTCTGCCGTGTAAAACCGCATTCTTCTCTATTACAAGGCATAAAAACCAACAAAGCAAACACAAAATCTCATACCCTACAAACAGCATAGCTCTCAGCTAAACCAGCCCAAAAGTTGTAAACATAGACCCGAAGGTATCAAATCAAATGAAAACGAGATCTGTTGGCCCTCAGAGACTTATAGTTTCTCGTAGATACCTGGCAAATAGAGATTTTTGGATTATTGCATTAACCACAGTTTAAAACAAGTACCCACGATGAATTATGGTGAGGACCACCCTAAAGCACCAGCTCTCACCTTTATGCTTCCCCCAATGAGATCTGGCGGTTCTTCATCTGTTTCTAAGGCAACGTTGATGGAGGCGAAGGGGCGACTTGCCATCTGTTGCATCTCACGGAGTAGTTGCTAATTTGATAAACAGAAAAATAATATTATTAGTTTATTGTTCCAACACAAAGACGAAAAACCACGCATCGGAGAGGTTCTGCCCAACACATAGGGATATCAGTGAACACGGGAAAATAACCTCCTGGTGTTTTAACAGGATGAAGGGCACAGGTAATTGTAAATATTCACGTTACTACAGTTTAACAAGTCATTGCAAGTAGAGCTGTACAGCACCGTCTTAGCCTGACTTGCTTGCAAAGGAAAACCCATCCACTTAAGTTACCATAAAGCAGCTAATTCCTTTTCAAGCTGTGATCCCCTAGCTGTTTGTCATCACCTGTCCGGGGCAGAGGAGGACTCCGTAAGATTTGTGGGAACCATTTTAAAATTAAACTAGCAGCAGTCCGTAACAACTGTAAGAAAGGATCTGACTTTTTTTTTCCTAACAGCACTGGCAAAATGTTGTCAGGTGGCTACTGAATAATTATTTCTGTTTGTTTCCTTTCTAAACACAGCAAATGCATCAAATGACAAATACGTCCTTGCTGCAATATGTTTTATTCCAACAGAAAACGTTTTCCTGAGCAAATCCCTGCAAGCCTCCACGACACGAGACATCTTTTATTGTGCTCTTAAGCAGTTTTAAGCACTATGATGCAGCTCCCTTTTTTTTGAAGGCAAAATAATGTTTCCTATAGGACTAGAAACAGCATTTCAGCTGGAGCCAAGCTGTGGACACATACACTCCTGCTTGGTTTCGGCTGCTAATCCTCGACACCAGCAGCGAGCTGCACCACCAGTAACTGGAGGCAGAAGCCATGACCCTAATTCCCAGAAGCAGTGGGTGTAATGTGTCTCAGCGCCCCTTTTTAATAAGGGGAGAGATGTATACCTTGTATAGCGTGTAAAAACCAGCAGTCTCACCCTTAAGAACAGCAAAGTGCCTGATCCCACCTGTTGTTTGCAGCATTATGCAATTAGCATTACTACAGAGCTGCAGCAGCATTAGTTATATTCTATCTGTATGGTGGATTGAGGCTCTCCCAAATGCCTTCTATGCTACCACCATCCTCATTCCCCCTTTAAGCTTGGCTGATTTGATGCTTCGAGCCCTAACTGATCATTTATATCACTAAAGAAACCACCACCAAAGGCACTGTGCCCCCGGTGACCCAGGGATGCTGCACTGCACGCAGCAGAAGACACCGGTCTCTGGAAGACCAAGAGAAGCAAAGCCCATCAGAACAGATTGTAGATACTGTCACAACCGAAAAGAAAAAAAAAACACAAGAAATTCACACAAACGGAGCTGCACTAAGTATTTGCAAGCAAACTTGTGCGGACCTCACACTTGGGTAAAAGAAGTCGAGGAGTTTTCGAATATTTAAAGCACACCAGCAGATTGCAGACTAAAGCAAGTGTGAAACAGATTGCTGGGTTGTTGTTCCTGCAATTGTCCCCTTCAGCTATCATAAAGCGCTTTGTTTAATAGCTATAAAACCAAAGAACAAGCTGTCCTGATGAAGATGTCCAGGAGACTTACGAACTGCAAGCTATTAGCTCTTTTGAAGGAAGTTCAGTTTACTAAGGCAAATGTGCAATTTGGCAACATGACTCCTATTGAAGTCGACAGTAGCGTCAAGAAATAAAACCCCGGGCAGGGCTGCGAAAGCTGAGCTGCCTCCGAGTGAGCAATGGGAAAAGCAGTGCTGACAGCAATATTCCTGCTTGCATTTGCTGAACCGGAGAAGGAAAGTCATCCGTTTCTGGGCTGTCCCAAAGCCAGCTGCTGCTCAGCACAACGGTGGCCAAACCTGGTAAAACCAAAGGTCCAGACAGTCACCAAACCAGCAAAAGCCTCCAGGAGAATACCCTTTCCCTAACACCGTTTTCTTGTGCATCACAAGCCATGTTACAAAACCAATTCCCTGAAAATTAAGAACAAATTTGAGAAATAATTGCTCTGGAACCAGAATGTCACTCCTTCCCCCAAGGCATACGCAGTGCGTGTTTAACCTATGCACGAATATATCCTTCAATATTTGTTTGGTGTATCAAAATTTTAATTAAAATGTGTTGTTATGCTGCGAAGGAGAAATTGTGGCACTTCCCCAGTCAAGATGTGGAGAATGTCATTAGAAAGCAGCAGCAGGTAATGTCAAGATACCCCCTAACCCGGCACACCACCATTCCTGATGATTTGCTTTCTGAGTTTTAGAATAATTAACCTGAATACTCTTCCAGCAAAGCGTTGGTTTCTAGATCACACAATTAATAGGACAACCTGGGAATATTTTTAATCACCTTGGTCTGAAGAGGATCTTAAAGGCGAAACGTTTGACAGGCTTATAATAAAAACACATTAAAAAGCGTGTCCGGGAACACACCGTGGACATTTAATACCGAAGGAAGCACAAACTTCAAATGAGAACCTGCACAACTTTCATCTGCGTGGATTTTTTTCATGGAAAGAAGAGCTTCATCCCAGTAGCGATTTATGTTCATACCCATGGAGTTAATCCACGATGAAGTGGGTGACTGACGGGAGCACTGCACCCGAGGACGCAGGAAAACCATTCCCTGTGCGCAGCGGCACGGCCGCTCATGCAAAAGAAAAACAGCCACCCGGGTTACCAGGTTAATTGACTAATATAACCTGTGCTGTGTTTTCTGACAGGAAAAGCCTGAACATTTTATTTACAGTAATAAAGCAGTCCCTGGTTTCTGTATAACCGTCCTGCTACCATCAATCTCAGCAACTGCCCCCTGCGGAGCCTCTTTTATGAGCACAGGGCTCTGGTACCTTTCAGGATCGGGCTCCGGTATTGTCAGGCTGAAAGGATGCCAGGTTTTCCAGAAGAGAGGCACGGGTTTGGGATTTTATTTGCTCCTTATAAAGAATGGGTTTTAAAAGCCATCCGAACCAGCCATCTATAACTTGTAACGAAGGCGGGTTTTTACACGAGTTTCATCTCAATTTTCAACCGAGATGAGAAAGGAAAAAACCAGAAGCTCCACAACAAAAAACCCATGGGTATGCAGAGAGAACAACGGGCACAGATGAGCTCTTGGTTTAAAGGAGAGGAAAGGCGAAGCAAGCAGGATCTCATGGGAAAGGAAGCGAAGTATTTCCAGCAGGCAGGACGGATTCAAGACACAGGACAAAATGCTGCAGAGGTATCAGCAGAACATCTGGCACCGTTGCTCCAGCCTGTGGTTGAAGGAGGTGGCTTTAAAATTGGGATCCAGGAAAGAGCAATAGTCTTTTTTGTAATTCTTTTTCTTTTCTCCCAAATTTGAAGCTCTAATGCTTCAAATCTTTCTGAAACTCTGAGCCTTCTGCACCTACAGCTTGTTGGTTTTAGCAGCACAGCTACTCCGTGCATCCAGAGGAGGCAACACTTGGATTTCAGAGGCACTTTTGCTGAAGGTATTTCAGCAGAGCAAGCCACATGGTCCTTTACCTTGCTGACACAAGTACAACTAAGGATCCTCCTTTGAAGATTCATACTACAACCTTAATGAATCTGGGATGCTGCTGTAGAGCTAAAGCAATGATAACCAACTGCAGAACCGCAGACATCTCTACCGCCGTATTTCAGCCCCACCATGGAAAACATCAAGCTCCACTTGGTTATGAACGAGCACAATCAGCAGCCATATCCTCCAGGCTGTCCACAGCCAACTTCAAAAGCCAGGGCACCCTGAAATATGTAGTGTGTTTTGAACTGTTATCCTATCTGTATTGCAAAGATAAAATGGTCCAGTGGGCTGAAACCCAGAGACCTCACAACCAGCAGTAAGTCTTAAGGAAGTAACAGCTCCAGCATCATGGAGAGAGGAAACAGATGAAGAAGATAAGGAAAGAAACTGATTTGTACTCTTGTTGTTTAAGATATTTAAAAGAAAAAGGGTTATTGGGGCAGAAAAAAAATGTTTGGGATTTTCCTATGTCATGCTGAGAAGTGCAGCTCTGCCATGCAGGATGCTGAAGGTGCCATTCTCCAACATGGATTTAGCAGCTCTGGTCATCCCCTCCTGATCACAGCTAAAGAGAGGGTGACAGAAGCAGACCAAGGCTGTCTCCTCCTTCCCAATCAATCTTTTAAAATGCATCAGTTCTGCAAAGTTACTCGATTGAGTCAGTCCCCTTACCTGTTCCCTCCAAGGCTCTGCACTACGTGCACAACTCAATCTAATCAAACACCAAGAGGTCTCGCTGCGTACGCTGAGGATACGTAAGCAAAGGGTAACAAATTTCTCCCAGCGAGGCTTATTAACTCCGACCTCGTAACTCACCAACCCAAGTCGTGGTGGTTCTGTTGAGGTCAGAGGACAGACCGTGCTCTTTTCCTTCCAAAGCATACTGGGCAGACTGGCTGGACTGGCAGACAGGCATTTGTGCTTACAGACATCCAAAACATGCAGGAACTGGGGCTTCATTTGAATTCAGAAAGTGGCTTGTCCCATTTGTCCCAAATTAACTATCTATTTGCAGACACTGCTGCATGACTAAGCTAGAAAACCTTGTCTTGAGAACCTGTCCCAGAGCTCTCCTGTAATGACATCTCCCAAAATTACAGCTCGTGGGTTCCTACAACCCGTATTCGAAGGGGATCTCCCCCTCCTGGGGTTCCCAAGGGCCTTTGGAGAAGGTGCCAATCCTGGTGGCAACAGCAGCAGGACAGAGCTGCACTTGTATGCAGTTGGTACCAACTTGTGCTCATGCATTATTTTGAGGTAATGCTTATTTAAAATACATTATTTTGTGTGCATCCCATTGTGGGAACCTTTGCTTTATGTTACAATTCCTTGGTAACCTTGGGGGAAAGGGGAGAAATCAATGGAGCTACCTACAAAATAAAAAGGGGCATCAGGAAAGCCACAAAAGATGTAAGAAATAAATATTCCGCGAAGAGGACCACATTGTTTCAAAAGTAAGTGATTTACAGCGTTTAGCTACAATTACATTAACTACCATGTAAGTCAACAAACAAACAATTTTCTTTGACACTTCC